CTATCTATTTCTGTCTATCTCTGTCTATCTATCTATGTCTGTCTGTCTATCTATCTATGTCTGTCTGTCTGTCTATCTATCTATCTATCTATGTCTGTCTATCTATCTATCTATCTAGATTCTCCATTATAAAATTATTTACCATTAGTTCCTCAATGTACTGAACTCAAAAATATTTATTTATTTATAAGCAGATAAAATAAGTAAAATAGATTAATTTCACAAAGATTTTTTTTGTCAATAAAGGTAAACAGTTATCTTAGTTACCTTTCATTTTTGCCGAATATACATGAAAATATACATAAATATATGTATTTTTTTATTCTGAATATTAATTTCTCAATTATATATTATTAACCAATATAATAATATAATTACAGTTTTTCTCAGTCGCTTTGGTGCATTTCTCAGATCAGAAATGAAATTCTCAAAACTACTCGTTCAACCTCCACATCATCTAGTCACTTGTGCACATCATAAAAGCAGTTTCTCATTCTTTTGAGCAAGTTACGATTGCTTTGGTACATTCATGCAATTGATTATGTACCTTTCTCTGCGGTTTCCTACATTATCAGTTGCTATTGTCATGTTGCTCAAATTGTATAGTTCTCTGTGCAATAGTCTTACCTCTCAAAACATCTAGTCTTTAGTTCATCGTATAAGCCATTCAATGCAAAATGTTTGAGTTGTCAAACTATCAATCAAATTTTCTACACATTTCTATTAGACTTTATGTAAATTTGCCATGAATTGTGCAGGTGAATGAATCTTGACTTTCACTAATGAAGAGAATATAATGATAAACCAGTTCTCTGAAATAGCTCAAAGGTACCTCTCATGAACCTTCGATTGGAAAGCATATATAGACAGAGGACAACACAAGCTACAAATTCTGACAATGGACTTTCTAATTTTTCATTTTCGCCTTTGTGCCCATATTTCTTTTTTCTTTTCTATATCACAATGCCGCTGTAATGTATTTTTTTTGTCAGACCACTAGTAAAGTGTAATGTGAATCCTATCCAGTCTCTTTCAATCAATATCCCACATACAGTAATGTGTAAATTTGTACTTTTGAAATGGAGATATGGCATACATAAGCGCAGCCTTCTGCATTTCAATAGTAACTATCATCCAAACTGTTTTCATAGTTTGCAGCAGGTAATACTAACAGAGTGCACTGTTATACTGACAACATGACTAAGCATTTTGACTATCTTGTTTGTGAACAATTGTCAAGTTTCCATCACCCGGCTTTTATTTTGAAGTATCGCATCAGAATCGAGAGATGGAAACGCTGAATTTCGAATAAAAATGCCTTAATTCGCAAAAAACAAATTACGCTCGCTTGAGGTGGTTTTTGACTTGTGCGAAAAAGGGTTAATGCGAATAATGGGAGATGGAAATGCATTTTATGAATAAATTCCTCCAAGTGCATCACAAAAGTAATGTGACTTTGCGCTATGGGACGGCAAACCCGGACTAACCAGCGGACCGATCTCGTTCCACAGCATCTGAAATGTTGTTATATGGTCATTCGGAAATGCCCGAGCAAAGTCTGTCATCAAAGTATTTCTGTATAATTGCCTCCCAGAACTGTTAAACGACTGTGTTCCCAACCAGCAGCATCCACCTCCGAAACAATAGCTAACCGCATTCATTGTGTTTCGTCTGCTCGTTCTGAGGTAACGTTACAAGCTATTTATTCTACAGGAAAAGTATTACATTCAGTGGCTTCTCCTACTTTTCTTAGTGATTATAGTGCCAGTTTATTAGGAAGTGGTGATTTTGTTCTCTTTGACTCGTTGGATGGAAACGGTGCTTGTTCGCAAATATTTTGTGCGATATTCCAATTTTGCGCATAAGTTAAATTCGCAACTTTGGATGGAAACCTGGCTAATGACACAAGGACTTTTCATTCTGACGGCACTGATATGTTCACTGGCATAAATACTTACTTTTGAGAGATGAAATAGACCAATTATCGGTTTGTAAACATTCAGGATGCGCGCGCATCATGGTTGCAGAAAACCCGGGAGCGATGGCCTTTACAGCTAGAGAATTTCACGGATACGGTACAAAATAGTTAGGTTTCAAAAGATTATAAATTATATTGATTACATGTCATTTTCAAAATGTTCTCCGCATATTACAAGAGCTTGTCACCCAGCGATAAGCACAGTTATTCAACGAAACTGACGTTAGAGAGTGCGATAGTCTTACAGATCCGAAACAGGGGCGATGTTTTTTGTGGGCGGAGCCTATCTGGAGGCAGAAAATGAGGGTTTTCAAGCTGCAGTCTATGGCAGTGGTTCCCAACCCTGGTCCTGGAGGCACCCCCTGCACATTTTTGCACGTCTCCTTAATCAAACACACCTGATTCAGGTCATCAGCTCATTAGTAGAGACTCCAAGACCTGACATTGGTGTATGTCAGAGAAAGGAGACATGCAAAATGTGCAGTGTTGGGGTGCCTCCAGGACCAGGGTTGGGAACCTCTGGTCTATGGAGCCATGGAATAAAAGAATTTTTAAAAAAAAGGTCAATTTGATTTTATATTTCAGAATTCTGACATTTCCCCTCGGCTCCTCTGTCTTTTTCCCCCTCAGATTTGACAAACTCACTATTTTTGAGTTAAGTCGAGTTATAAAGTCCGAATTAGGAGGTATAAACTTGCATTTGCGAGAAAAAAAAGTCCGAATTGTGAGATAAAATAAATAAATGTTATGTAAAAATGTTAATAGTAAGGTTTAAATAATTATTCTAATAGCAAGGTTTAAATCATATTTCATGCTGTAACTGTAGGGCTAATACACTGTAAAACCCGATAAGTTCAGAATACTCCATTTTTGTGGACACCGATTACCTAATAAATTTTAAGTAAACAATAGTTATAAATTACAATTAATCCAAACTTAAAAGTTTCTCTTTAATTTTAATATTTGAGTACACTATACTTAAAAGTACTGTTTACCCTAAGTAATGTTTTTAGTTTATCCAGACTCAATTATTTTGATGCAATAATACTTAATTTCATAGAAATTCTATAACACACACACACGCACAAACTCTTATGCATGACTCATAGGCAAATTAATTGATCATGCTGAAGTTCAGCATATCAAAAAAAAAAAATACAAATACAACATTAGCTAAAGAATTGATTTATTCAGCCTTACAATTTTTAAAACCTTGTGACTC